AGATCAAAATGTATTTAAAGTACTTTTCTTGTGAACTTTGCTGTAATTACTACAGTATTAAAGCAAGATGTAGAATGGTAGACTATTTTTTTTTCCTTACTTTATACTGTCTGACATGTGCACATCCAGTACAGATATATGTTGATGCAGTATGCTCACTTAAATCACTGGTGTATTTCTTGTGCTGCCATGTTGTCACCCCACAGGCCTCAGCACCTCTGACCAGCATCTCCCATTTCTCATTCTTTCTCCTTTGTCATCCTTTCTTCCATCTACAGTATTATACACTCACATCTAGAGCTTAAGCTCATCTGTCCTTATTTTAGTGTTACTAGTTTTGGAAGTTCATGAATTTTCTCGTTAACTTTCCCAAGCTGATTTGTGAAAATCCTGATATAAGGGGGTTTCATTTGGAACCAAAAGAGCTACAAGATAACTCAAATGCTTTTAACAGTAGGGTCCAAACCAAGGATACAGAAGCAAAAGTAATGCATGTAAAAAGGAAAAAAAAATTACTTACCTTTGTGATACACTATATCAATTTCATTTCTTCTGAAATCCAAACTAAATAAAATCAGTCTAGCAACAATGCACAGCTCTGTAGCTGATAATTTACAACTTCACAGGTCAAAGGCACTGGATGGTTCATTATCCCTTTCAGTAACCCCTAACTCCTTTTAGTATCTAAATATTAGCTGTAATCACTTTTTGGCAAAGAGAAAATTACATCCTACTGGTTATACTGGCCCTTTAGAGGTTGGCTATTTAAAGGACTAAATGTTTCTTTAACACAGGTGCAAAGTGGACCATTTTCTTTTTTATATACGTAGTCCACATCTGTAGAGTTTGTGGATAGTTTCCAACAGCAACAGGTTATATGAAATACACATAGTACATAGATAAACCTTATGTGGCTGACTTTAAACATGGTTAAATATTTTGCCCCTGAACCTGGGTTGGTGATAAAATATTTGAATTGTTCCTTACAGTTTCCTCAAGTTTTATAAAGACACACCTCCATACTATCACAGGGATACATCATGTTTATTTTTGCATTTTATTATAGGCTTATCCCACCAAGGGAAGAGTATGTGCAGATAAACTGGGCAAACAGGCTGCACACGTTTCATCTGGTCTACCGTTTGTCTGCTAGAAACTGTCACTTTTTGGTACAACACCAACTATTTTAATACTTCTGAAAAGCACTGCAGGAGCATTGTAATGGGCAGACATACTTAATTCATTGAGTTTTGCAAAACAGTATTCTGTGTAAGCTACAGTATTTTAAAGCGTGCAGTGAAGTTTGATGGCTTTAAATCTATAAACACCCCTATCACTTTCATTTATGCTATTCCTGCCAACATAACAGTGTAAAAATACTGTCCCATGACAACTGGCACTCAGTAATAATAATAATAATAATACTATTAGTGGAGAATTTCACCATGGTTAAGGTCACTAGAATCAATTAGCATTTTGAGGTGATAGGAGACCATGCAGGCAATTACTATCAACTCAAAATTTCATAGAAAGAAGATTCTAACTGGGTATTATTAAATAATCTCTAACCCCACATGCCTGATTCCCAATTATCTTAACAATGAAGAAATTAAGATTTTCATTATCCACTAAATGATCATTATAATCAACTTAAAATAACACAGGATAATTACGCCATAGTGCTATTTTTCCTGAACCCATTTTGAGAATGAAAGATAAAAAGTATTTGGAAATTACCAAGTGTGTCTGTTTGGAGTGGGGGAAGACTGGAGTGCTCATTTTGCAGCCTCACAGCTCCAGACCATTGTGTCAGTGGAATTTTACATACAGTATTATAGTATCCCATATTATATATTAGATTGTAATATTCCACAAAATTAAACCTCTGCATTACTTAGTGGAATTACCTGGTTTGTGTGTCATGTCTTCTGCAAACTTGGGCACATGCTCTGATATCCTGACAAGGGCTCACTGAATGTGACTGTGGTTTTGAAGCTTGTATTGGGAATGCTCTTACTTGTTCAGTCAATGCAATTTTAACACTATGCAATGCAGAAATGTTTTATGATTAAAATGTTTGCATATCTGAAATCTGTTTTAGCAGCTTATCAGGCAATTTTTCTAATTTAAGGGCAGTGTAAACAAGCAACCTTGAAATATTGTTATCAGCTTTTAAGTTGAAATGACAAACTTATTGGCAAAAAGCGGCTTGTTTTCACATCTAGCAGATTCAGAGCAACATTAGCATTCATTGCTGACCATGTAGTGTACAGTTTTTAAAGCTTTTTCAGTACTTAAAGCTGCCTGTTGCAGCTGAAAACATTGTCAATGAGAGCAGTGACAGTGAACCACAACAGTAAAGTTGTGGGTCAGACAGCTGCACACTGAGCTGGAAGACAATTTAGACAATTTAGAGCTGAGAATAACTGCAGTCAAATGATATTTCTCTGTGGGTCAATTACTACAAGCAACACTTTACATATAGTCATGTAGGCTAATACTTTAAAACAACTATAGCCACAAGATATTGTAAAAGTAGTGCAGTAAAATAACGTTTCATATACTGGAAATATTCGATTTGCTGCAAATTTCTGTCCCTAAAATACTTGTTACTATCTGTAGTAGTGTTTCAGTTTATATTTCAGTGTCATATCATTATCATTATATTTATAGACAAAACTTTCTCTATTAAGACTGTAAACTTGTTGATTCCAGGGTCGAGATACCTTCCACCTGTTCTGGGTGTCAGATTCTTCATCCAGCATTTCTTCCAAGACAGTGAAGAGAGCAGGACATGGCCCAAGGCCACGCAGGTGTCTTTCTGCCAACACAGCAGATACAGAGCAACTGACAGGCCATTTCACAGAAATCCAAAGTCACAGTGTTTATAAGATGGAGGTGCAGGTGCAGATCGCAGAAAAGTCTGAATAACCAGACAGGATAACAATTCAACTTTTAGATTTGAAATAACATAAAGTCCTGACATTTACAGGCCTAAATATATGAGTAACAAGCGATGTGGTGAGCCAACAAAGCAATTTAATGATGTGTTTGCTCATTCTCTCAACGTGACCTACAGTAATGAGCTGCAGTCAGCTGTATCTGTGTGTTACATATGACACAGTCCACAAATTCATACACCCATTCACATGTACATTTAAAGAGTTTTAGAAATTTGAATTAAAAATTAAAATAATTTTGAAAAATTCTCACAATTTCTTTTTTCTCTACAACCTGTGTTCATGACCACAATACAGATGCTGATATATGAATACTGTATTTCCTAACTGCGATGGATTGGCGACCTGTCCAGGGTGTACCCCGCCTTCGCCCGATTGCTGGCCGGGATTGGCTCCGGCCCCCCCTGTGACCCCGCTCAGGGATTAAGCGGTAGAAAATGAATGAATGAATGAATGTATTTCCTAATATATATGTTTTTGCGAATTATGTACATACTTGTGTCATGTCAGGGTGTATATTCTGTTCTTGCTGTGTCGTGCCCCACCTGTGTGTGCCTTAGTTATGTTTGTGATTTCTCATAAAGCTCACAATTTGTGTCATTAATCACAACTCAAACTCAAAAGTACTGTATGTAGCACAATGTTGTAATGTCGCTGCAGTGTCCCAGGTTCACCACATGGTGGTGATGTTCAGACAGGTTTTTAATCAACCCAGTCAGAGGCACTGCAAAAAAGGAAAAGGTGAAGGACAGCTGTAAAATGTGATTATTTTATGTCTGTCACTGTGGTTATATGGATGTTTTAAATTCAGTTAACATAGTTTCAGTACAAGCACATAGGCTTAGGATCATTAAAATGAATACAGGCTCACTCCACTAAAGTTATGTTCAAATTACCTGCCAAAGTGACTCAAATTTGATTTTTTCCCCCCTCCAAGAGACTCAGATTTGATCTTTTCACAAATGTGTGAACAAACTTTGATTAAATCAGAATCTGGTCCACTTCCATATGTGGCTCTAGATGCAATTCCTATCAGATAGTTCACCATGCGACTGCTGTCAGAAAGGTCAGATCAGAGTTCATGTGTTTTTTTTAATGTCTCACTCCCCTCAGCATCTGCATATTGCCTGTTGTCATTTAATGTTGGCCCCTCAGAGACTGGCAAAACTAAACATGAAGGAGAACAACAACAGCGATGGGGGTCAGTGGGGAGACGGGGATGTTGCATAATTGTTGGACATTTATGGAGACACTTCTGATCAAGCCAAGTTGGAAGGAACATTCTGTACCAAGTGGTTTTTGAGGTAACTGTGTGATTTGACCATTGTTGTTATTCTTGTAAGTACATGACTCACATTTCAGTTAAATTTGTGCACATGTGGTGGTTTAGGACATCAATGGTGTTCACACTGGAGCTGGATACATGTCACTTACACAAATGTGAACCA